AATTTGCGTCAGGTTACGACCAACTTGGGATACGCCCAGAGTCACGGAACGCATTAAGTTCATATCCCAAGGTACCACTGTATAGGAGACAAGGGATAACCACAGCTCTGTAGACTGTCAGCTTTGTGGAGATACGGATGTTGTGTTAATTGAGCAGTCTAGTACGCAGCCACCTCAGAGCCTGGCTGGCCTTGCTGATCCTAGAGTCAATTTCTCTGTCCAAAGACCCACCACACAAGATGATGCTTCCCATCATCTGTTTATATTTGTCAGCTGGGTATTGTCAACAGTGACCTTTGGTATTCTGGAACAGGCTAGTAAAGTACTTCAGTCTTGTTCAGGCTGATAGGCCAAAGAGCATAGCAGTGTCTGAAAATTTGTTCAGCATCAACTGTAGATCACTGTTTTTGTGTGCCAGGAGCACACAGTCATCAGCAAAGAGGGTTTCTTGAATGACTATATGGAGGCACTTTGTCCCAGCATTCAAGTGGCAAAAGTCAAAGAGAGAGCCATCCAGTTGGTACCTGATGTACACTCCCTCCTTCAGACTCTAGACAGCATGTGACAACAAGTAAGTGAACAACAGATTGAACAGGACTGGGGCTAGCACACAACCCTGTTTTACCCCACTGGAAATGGCAAATGCAGCTGATGTAATATCACCATTGTAAAGAACCTGTCCTGTCATTCCATCATGGAGTAGCTAAATCAGCTTCACATAAGGATTCCTTGGGTATCCATAACATCTCAGGATGATCCAGGAAGCCTCTCTGTTTACAGTGTCAAATGCCTTTATCAGGTCAATAAAGACAGAATCAAGAGGCTTATTTTGCTTGATGTACTTCTCCTAGACTTGCCTCACAGAAAGTATCATGTCTGCTGTACTCCATTCTAGCCAAAAGCCACACTGTGCCTCTGGAGGTTGCTTTCCGAGACAGTGACAAGTCTGTTCAGAAGAATGCGGGCAAAGATTTTGCCTGCAATGGACAGCAGCGAGATACCCCTGTAGTTTCCGCAGTCTGATTGGCTTCCCTTATTTTTGTAGAGAGCCACAATGAGGGCATTGTGGAAGTCATTAGGCATCTCCTCTGTGGACCAAATGTCTTCCAAGATGTCTTGGAACATCTGTAAGGTGTTTGGGTCTAGTGCTTTGTATATTTCAGCAGGAATTCCATCCTGTCCTGTTGCTTTATTTGAGTTCATCTGCAAGATCGCTTTCTTGATCTCATCACTAATGGAAGCAGGTCTAGGTCATCCAAAATTGGCAGCTGAGGACCTGCTGTAAGGCATCAAGATCAAGCTAGCATTACTGCAGGTAGAAAAAGGGAGGGAAGAGACAGGGAGTCTGTTTTATCCCCCGGTTGCAGTTTATGATTTGATTTGGTTCATCTCCCCTGTTTGTCTTTTACAGAATGAAAGTTACAAAATAAAGAATAGCCAGTGTTATCTGGATGAGGAAAGCAATTTAAATCAGTTTAACAAATCCATCTCCAAAGTATCTACTGGTTCCAATACCTAGATGATTTCATCTGTTTTACAATATAAGAAATAGTTGTGGGGCCAAGAATCAGTGTTGAGATAGCTATGTCAAAAGAAGACCTCAGGATCTGGGTAGATCCTTATTCTTGGTTTCGTCACCTGTCAGAAAGCAGAAACCAATCCTAACTGCACAGTGTAGCTGACAAACCAGGAACCACTTGGATAAGTTGTCATCAAGTGTTGACAACCAATCATTTTATGGAAGCAGAAGATACCAAATTTTGAAGATTAAGTAATTTTCAGTAAGCTTGGTACTTTGAAACACAAAAGTATCACTGGAACAAAATATATTCAATTTTTTTTCCTCCACTTTCTCTGCAGCATCTCTAGAGATAACTGCAGCACCAAAATCTTCAAGTATAGAAAATAACCAGTCTGACAGTTTAAAAGACCGTGTACTTTCAGGTTGTCAGTTTGTAAATATAGACACTTTAAAATGTATTTGCTATAAACAAGATCTCAGATGATATTGACTTATCTCTGAATATTATTTTTCACAAGAGCTATTTTGTGTTCATATTTGTTCTGAATACAATTCCACTTACATACCCCCTGTATTTATTTTTGGCAGCCCATTGTGACCATGGCTACCAAACTATTATCTTTGTCTTGTGGCATCACCATGATGTCAGTGTGATTCCAACTGAGTTAATGTCTGCTTTTCATTGTGTGTTAGATTTCAAGCAGTGCATAACATGTATTATTAATGTAATAACATGTATTATTAATGTAATCTGTGAATGTTTTGGTAAAAAGGGTCTTTGAATAGAAACTGTCAAAGCTCAGCTTTGTTTTCCTTCACTGGGTTATTAAATTGCCTTAATGTCTACTGTACATAGTTTCATGCAAGTTGATTAAATCTCTGAAGAACAATTCAGTTGGTCTCTTTAGTAATGCCATTTCTCCTCCTTTAAAAAAAAATGTGCAAATGCTACTCTCATACATTTTAGTTATCTACCACTGAAAGCTATTTAAGGTGTGAAACAAGGAAATATCCTCTTTTAAGAAACAAATAATCAGAGAGCAATGTATTATCTAGACTATTATATGCAGGAAAAACCTTTCTGGCTATGGTATAAAAACTGCAGAATGTCTGACCTTGAAAAATGTTCCAGATGGTGGCCAAGTCTTTCTAAAATGCCACTTGTTTGGCTACCTGTGGAGAATAAGAAATTCCTCTGGATGGCTTGGCAATATTCCATATTAAAGTGGAAAATAATCTCATCCTCCATCTTTCATACCTTTGATATGCAGGTAGTTGGTGTGCAAGCAGGCAAGTTAGCAAAATGTTTGATAATCTATTAATTTTATGGATTTATTTCAAGTTCAGGGTTGCAGTCTTCATTAGTAACAATAATACCATACTGCTAATATTTCAATATCAAGTATAGAGCCATAGTTATTTGCAAAGCACAAGTCTGCTAACCAAAGAGACAGAGTTGGGCTCGAGACAAGTAGCTAATATTTGATGGGAGACTCAGGAGAACTGTGAAGATGATTTGTTGAAATCTGGCCAAAGCTATTACATCTTGAATAATGTCCACAGCTGCACTTTAGAGATCAGTTTCAGACCTCCCCTTCTTTTCACTGGAGGTGTCTGTGCCTTCATGAAATAAAAGAGGTACTATAAATAAATAAACGATGCTCATACAAGGTGTCCAGCGGTTGCTTCTTGTAGATCCGATGGTCCAGGCAGCTTGCTTTTCTAGGTCATGATATTCTTGGCTTAGGCGCATTTTGTTCTCATTTGCAGTTTTGAGTTGTCAGCACCACTTAGCATTCCACTAGTACTAGGAAAGGTGTCATGCATAATCAACATTGTATTGGATATACTTTCCATGAATATAATTTTTCATCTTTGTGCACATTTGCTTACATGTTCTTTTAATGGAATCTTTTCCAACTTGGTGCCTCTGCATTTAACTACTAGTTCCATCATATCTCAAACTAGGATAGCCCCAAAGTCCTATTGCTTGTGATAATGGGAGTTGTAATTTAATGAATCTGGAGACCACTAAATCAGAGACAACTGTCTTAAACTATTCATTAGGTATGTAACATTGTGCTTAATGCTTCTTTTAGTAATCTTTATCTACTTTCAGTTGCTTCTGTTTGTATAATTTTTAGAATCTCAATCATATGACATCTTATCTGTGTGACATTCAGGGCCTTCTGCTTAAATATGGTCTTACAAATTGGATAATGCTTCACCTTTCCCATTTATCCAAGGTGAAAATGCCTAACCTAGATTAATTGATCTCATTTCTTTATATCATATTTATAATATGAAGATTAACTTTGGTGCCTTTTTCCATAGCCTCAGTTGTCTTAGATCAAATTTATTACCTGCATGTAGTATTTCTGCCTTTTAGAATGATGCATTGACCTGTACACATCCAACCACAATGGCTCATCTGTGTGTCAGAGAAATGCAAATGCTTTCTGAAGAGATCCTGGCCCTTTGCAGGCTAGACAAATCTCCTGCCAGCCAATGTTTGGTACATGTGAGTTGTCATTGCCAGGTGATAAAAACTGCCCATGAGAAGAATCCTATGACAATTAGCATGCAGCGTGGTGGGAGGACATGGCACCAGGATAGTGCAATATGTTCTTTGAGTACATAGGGGAATTACTGTAATGGTATTTGGGAATGACTTGGGAGACTGGGCAAAGAGATGATGCCTAGGGATGGTCAGATAAGAGGGAGCATAGCCCACAGCTGCATAGTGGGTGGAGCAAAAGGCTCAGAAGGGACCCTCCGTAAGTTATCAGGCTGTAAATTAGACGGGGGGGAATTTGTACTTTCAGACTTGCAAAATTCTGTTAATGTAGCCTTGCAATAAAGGAGAATTAGCTCATCTGGTTGTGTTTCCTGTCTGGTCTACCTGGGAAGGCTGACAATTACTTATACATTAATTTATTATTATTCATGTAAACAATATAAGTTAGTATTGCTGTTTGAGAAATGTATAATAATAATATCAGAAATAGCAAAAAGGTACAAATGCAGAATTAGGGCAGGTTAGCTGTTAGAAGCTTAACAAGTGAAGAAAAATTTCTTGTCCAGTTGGGATCATCTGTTGGCTGGATAGCGGAGTCAAGAACTTGCAACGGCATTTTCTGAGTACATTGCCATGGCTGGTCACCTGGCTGGTCTGTCCCTAATTTTGGCCATGCCTGGAAGTATCTAGGGTTGACTGGAAAGAGATAAATTCAGGAATGAAAATCTGCAAGTTGTGTGACTCTTTCTAAAATACATTGTTTTGATATGAAGACAGTGCTAATGGAACTCACAGGATTTGCTAAGCAAGGACATTAAATAAGGAATCTTGTTGGGTTACTTCATTGCTTTATGCCAATGGTAATTGTGCCTCAGAGGCTCACAGATAAACTCTGTTGAGTAATAGGCTTCCACTTTTATGCACTGAAATTTCATGGGTTAGCCAACAATGTGCAAATTATCTAAGGAAAACAAATATGCCCCAACTGCTTATCAGTTTTAGTAAATAATGAAAATAAAACATCTGTGGCTATAATTCTCTGAGACGTGAAGCTGGTAGCATAAGAAAACAGTTGTAGTTCCTTTCTTTTGTGTAAGTCTGCTCACTTGCCATTTGTACTATATTTTTTTTCCCCAAAGAGTATGCACACTCTTCATACTTTTTAAGGAAACTCTTAAAACAAATGCAGCAATAAAAGGATTTCCATTCTTTCTGTCTAATGTCGTGCATGGGAAGCAGCAGCTTTATATTTTTAACTTTTTTACAAAGGATCTTAAGTGTATATTTGTGACTGTGTGTATGCTCCTTTTTTAATACTCAAAGATAAGTGATACGTGCTTGGGTTGGGAGGTGAACACTTCAATAAAATTGTATTTGGACAGTTTGGTTAGATACTCCTACATGGACAGCAGAGTATTGGAATCTGCCTTACAAGAATCACAATTTTAAAAGACTTTAAAGCGCTTTGCAATTTTTAAACACTATGGCATGGAAAGCATTTCCATGAAACTGTAAATTTGACTAATCATATCATATTTTAAACTAAAGGGACTTTTCAAAATCTACTTGTGTTCATCATAAGTATCATTGTGCAGCAGAAGACAGGGCAGTCCTAACTATGCCTTCTTAAATGCAGCCCCACAGAATTCAATGGTATTTACTCTCAGATAAATGTTCACATTTGTCTGGAGTTTTTCTTTGCTGTTGATCATGCTCTGCTTTCTGATCTGAGTTCCTTTTTCTTTAACAAAAAGCTGTTTGAGCCTGTTTATTTGCTGCTGCTCCTTCAAGAAAAAAACAAGCAAAGGAACTAGGATTAAAAACAAACTCTCATCACAGCTGCTTGGTCCAGATGGTCATGGAACAGCAGGAGGACTGACTCTTGATGCAGATCTGTTGTCAGGTGGTCACGCTCTAGAACAGTGTTTCTCAACCTTGGCAATTTTAAGGTAGATGGACTTCATCTCCCAAAATCCTGGGAGT